TTTATTGTTTTTATCGTCCTGCAGGCTCTGGGAGAAAATTAATTAGAAGCTGAGATTTTTTTATATATAAATCATTAAATTACTCTAAAGCAAAATGAGGGAAAACCTGTGTCAATTACAGACATTCTGTTCACGTGAGCAGCTGTCAGTCAGCACCTGTCAACCTCCAGATGCACGAAGGAGCGTGCCTGAACCAATCACTTTTGTTGGCATTGATCAGCTGACTGATTTAAATACATCTTAACATTCAAGAGGTGCTTTGCATTGACTGTTTACAGTTGAATGTTGGCATATAGAGGGTAGAACCTGAGGCGGGACCTCGTGCGCAAACTCTGACGTGCAGCTGTGATCTAAAAAGGAAACATGCGTATGCACGGTTTTATAAATCTGAATTTTTTTTTGGCGTAAGCCATTTCCGCCTTTTGACCATACGTTCACTTTTAGTATGGTTTCCACGTAATCCTTTATAAATCTGACCCATCGACTATTTGCAGGCCATTACTTCGACTGAATGTGTCTTTCTCCAAGGAATGCCTTTACTGTTTTCGCCCTATGGCACAACACATTGTCATCTTGGAAAATTATTTCATCACCTCAAACATCTACTCAATTAAAGGGATGAGAAAACTGTCCAAAATGTCAATGTAAGCTTGTGCATTGATAGAAGAATGAACCACAGTCATCTCTCCAGTGCCTTTGCCTGACATGCAGCCCCATATCATCAAGGACTGTGGAAATTTGGTTGCTTTCTTCAGGCAGTCCTCTTCATAAATCTCACTGGAACGGCACCAAACAAAAGTTCCAGCATCATCACCTTGTCCAATGCAGATTCTTGACTCATCACTGGAGATAACTTTCATCCAGTCATCCACAGTCCATGACTGCCTCTCCTTAGCCTATTGCATTGTATTGTTCTTTTTGTTTAGGTGTCAATGATGGTTTTCTTTTAGCTTTCGCTGACTGTGAACAGCCTGCATCTTTAGCAACCATGCGTGAAGAGTTACCTTCTTCAAGAAGTTTCACAGTCCTCTCTTTTGTTTCAAGAGACATTTCTCTTGTTAAAGCCATGGTTCTTGCCACTCCACTTCGTCCAGCAGCCCTCCAAGGTGTCATGACTGCAGGTGTTTTTAACTGCAGACTAACGAGCAGATCTATTCTGAGGCAGGTGTCCATTTAGGGAAAGGAAATTGACTGGGTGCGTCCTTATTTTCTACCTCCAATTTGAGTGATTCCATACTTTTTTCCTCAGAATTGAGTGATTCCATATTTTTTCCCTGTACTTGGTCAATAAAAGTAACATTCACTGACTTCCACAATGTTTTCTCTTCATTTCTTTGAGTGTTCCTGAAGGACAACAAGTTGCACTTTGGAATGACCTTATTATTGTTTCATGTTTTTGATYTGAGTTTGTTTTACAGAATGAAATGTCTGAATGGTAAATGGGAAATGGACTGTACTTCTATAGCGCCTTTCTACCCAACCAGGATACTCAAAGCTCTTCACACTACAATCTGTGTCCTCATTCACACAGCACTCTACCAGATCTCCTAAGCTAACATGTACAATCAACCATGGAGACTAATCAGTGCCAATCACATTCAAACACTGATGGGACACACATCAGAGACATTGGGGTTAAGTATCTTGCCCAAGGACACAACAAATGAGACAGCTGGAACGGAGGATTGAACCGGTGACCTTCTGGTTCCAGGACGACTCCCCTAACCACTCGCCCCTGAATGAGTGCTCATCCAAGACTGGTGATTCCACACTTTTTGCCAGGGGTTGTATAAAGGTTAGTCTCAATGAGACATGACTGCCTTATTTGAAAACAAAGTAATACAATTAAAATTTGTATATAAATACAACATATGAATATATTAAAATATTTAAATATCAACTACACTGACATAAAACAGGGGAAAGTGTCGGTCAGTGTGAGGATTGGGTTAGTGATGGTTGGCTCAGTATGAATGTTGGCAGAAATGATTGTTCAGGTCAGAGATCATTTCAGACACGTGGTTTGGTTCAATGAGACTTGGTCGGGGTTGGTTCTGGTTCTGGTTGGTGAAGGTGTGGACTCACCCAGAATATGATGTTATAGCTGAACATCAGATACTTGTAGCAGCAGCTGACCTCAGCATTTTCATAACGATAGTAGTACATCTGTAACAGCGAAGGACAAAAGATTAGAGTGTTACGAAACTGGTTCTGACTGGAATACACTGAACTCATGTCTGTTTAGACCCGCTCAGTGAAGACTCCGTTCACCAGAATATAGTCTGACAGAACATCAAAGGGTTTATAAAAAAATACATGCTATTCAGTTCAAAGATCTCAACTCAAGACTTTTGTGTCCTTGGATTTCTCGGATCTGGATTTCAGATGGATTAGATTTAAAAGATTCACAGTTCATTACAACCAATATTTTATGTATTTGCAAAGTTTTTTAATGTTGTCAGTTTATAGTGTTTGCACATTATACAAATATTTTATGTTATAACATGATTTAAGTCAACCTTCACAGAATTAAAAATGTTAAAAAGTTGATTTGATCATAATAAATTAACAGTGAATGGCAATAAAACCACATTCGTGTTTGTAATGTTATACCAAATAAACTTGTGATTTAATAGAAATGTAAAGAGAGACTGATATCAAATGTCTTGGAGTCATACAGTAGCTGGCTTGTTGTACAGTCAGGTCCATAAATATTGGAATATGGACGCAACTCTCATCTTTTTGGCTGTAAACACCTGATGGATGTGAAATAATAAAATAAAATTAAATTAAAACAAACAAACAAACAAACAAAAGTAAGATGTGCTTTAACTGCAGACTTTCAGCTTTAATTTGAAGACATTTACATCTATAAGGTGAACTGTGTCAATTACAACAACGTCAGTGTATTTACTTAATCTTTTCAATAATTTTTTTATTATGTTTTCAATCCATTATTATTTGTTTCTGTTTTTGCTCTCAGAACAAATTAATTAAACGAATGAAAATAACTCTTTGACGTTAGGGCCATCCGACGTTAAAACACTGAAAAACAATTTTAAAAACTTCAAAAACTTAAAATCAGTGAAGTATGTTCAACTAAAACTAGACTTGTTTATTATCGATTAGTTTGGGAGCGAACCGGAAGTGGCTAATGCTAACAAAGTGAAACTAACGGCACGGGGAACAAAACCATAAAAATAAACCACAAAGTAAAGAAAAACCTTTGATGACAAACAACCCGACTCACCTCAGATCAATGTTAAATGATTTCCGCTTTGATGACATACAACCCGACTTTCTTCTTTTTCTTTTTCTTCTTCTTCTTCTGCTTCTTCTGCTTCTTCTTCTTCTTCTTCTTCTTCTTCTTCTTCTTCTTCTTCTTCTTCTTCTTCTTCTTCTTCTTCTTCTTCTTCTTCTTCTTCTTCNTGGTGGTTGGCAATAAACTGAAGGTGTGCATTACCGCCACCTGCTGGTATGGAGTGTGGTTCAAGATGATTTTACTATTTATATCCTACAACTATTATTGTATTTCTTTTTACATTTTCAAAGCTATTTACTCAAAGAAAATAAAAAATAAACAAATAAATAAATAATACAAAAATCCTACTATCAAACTCAAATTCTGATATGATTTTGTCTTTTTTCAAAAAACACATCATGATTTGTATGTTTGCTCCGTAATTTACTTTATAATGTGTCTATTATGTTAAACCTTTCCTTACTGTTTCTAAACTGTCTTATCATAAATTGTCTCTCTTGTTTGTACTKYTGACTTTCTTTTATAACATGTTCTATGGTTTCATTTTGTCCACAGTAATCACATTTCCCTGTATTATGTTTTTGTATTGAAAAAAGTGTGTACGGTAATTAAGTCCTGTATATCCAAATCTCAACCTTGTTATCACTCTCTCTTCTTTTCTGCTCCTTTTTCCAGCTCTCCTTTCTCCTACCACCTTCTGGATCTTATCAGAGGCGGATGCTGGTCTTTCAAGAAGAGGAAGCTCAATTTCGGCCTACATCATAAAATGTGTTGGTTTATAAATTCTACCCTCCATTCCTTTTCAAGAAAATGATCTATGACCCTGTCACAAATCTTTTTTTTTTGTTTATAGTATTTGTTCATTTCATTAAAAAACCCAAAACATTACATAAAACAAAACTATACAACTAAAATAAAATGAAAGGCAGCAGAAGAAAAATATCTTATATCTCCTCCTATTTACAAAAAAATATTAATTTCAAACAATAATAAAACAAATAATGAAACAAAACAAAAAATTCAACTCCTCAAACAGTGACTCATTCAAATACAAATCAAACAATTTCATAATTCTTTAACAATTTTGCTTTGATCATTTTCTAAAGGGGCAATATCATGCAAAATAAACTTTTTTGAGTTTTATATCATGTTATAATGTTATACTCTCATAAAAAACATGCCCAAAGCCTTGCTTTTATTCATTCATGCATGCATGTTTGAGAAATCCTGCAGCATTTCTAGGCAGCCATGCAGAGGAGCAAAACGACAGGTAGGGACCAGTGGTCAGATTCATAAAAGATTGCGGGGAAACCATACTAAAAGTGATCGTACGGCCAAAAGGCGAAAATAAGCATATGCACCAAAAAAATTTCAGATTTATAAAACCGTGCGTACGCATGTTTCACCGCATTTTCCCTTTATACAGATCACAGCTTCACCTCAGAGTTTGTGCACAAGGTCCCGCCTCAGTTTCTACCCTCTACACCCTCACACTCAACCATAAACAGTCAATGCAAAGTATCTCATGAATGTTAAGAGGTATTTAAATCAGTCAGCTGATCAATGTTAAAAAAAGGCTATTGGCTCAGATACGCTCTGTCGTGTGTCTGGAGGATGACAGGTGCTGACAACTGCTCATGTGAACATAATGTCTGTAACTGACACGGATTTTCCCCTCATTTTGCAGGTTTACAGACGTTTAGAGTAATCTAATGATTTTTATCAAAAACTCAGCTTTAAATCCATTTTCTCTCAGAGCCTGCAGGACAATAAAAACAATAAAAATTAAATTAAATAAGTCAGATAAAATTAGAAATAAGTTCACCACTCTTCTCCCCCGTCCTCCCCCTCATGCCTGCTCTGTTATCCGCGGCAGACACCCCCGCCCCCCACACACACACACACACGAACACAGCCCTCCCGCGTAACAAATATAGATTTTAAAAAGTGAAGTTTTATAACATCCACACTGGTGAGGGTGAGCGCGCCCTTCGAGTAAAAAAAGCGTGACTTTTGCTGTCGTGCTGTTTACATGTCTCTTGTCGGGGAGGGGTCTGTGGGTCAGGGTCGTCTGAGGAGGAAGGAGATGAATGGATGCGTGAACTTTTATTTAAGATTTAAGTTTTTTATTTCAAAGGTCCTCACGGCTCACAGCAGAAGCATAAATATTACTGTTAAGAAAGCTGATGATAAAGCTGAATAAAAATCTAA